TCAAGCGTCAATGTGTTGAATGGTATGTTATGCTAATCTTGAGGAAAATAAACTTTCTTCTTTATGTACGTACCTCCATTACTCTTTTATTTCGCCTCAAAACTGTTCCCCACCCTGTATAAGCTGGTTAACAATTTAAATTGTATATTGTAATCAATATATAACAAATAGTCAAATAGTTAAAGACTACTTATAGCCTTATAAGAATTAGCTAAGCTGCTAGCTATGTACAATGTATTGCACACTTGATGCCTCTGTACCAAAAACATTCAATTTATTGGAACCTAATACACACTAAAGGCAACAAGTTTATATACAATTTGTCATTCATAGTACATTCATACTAAACCATGAATGTTTACCTCAATATAAATTAAAGACTGCTGTAGGCAGAGAGGTTTCAACTAGTATATCTGACTCCGCTCAACATTTCATCTCTGGTTTGGTTTAGCCATGGGGTGAAGGAAAATGAAACATGGAGTGTGACTGACAAGAAAATATAAACACAAAAGAAATGAAGCATACAAAAGTAAACAAAGAAAAGGGAAAAGTGGGTGCATAAGTGACAGACTTTAGTGTCTTGCCCAAAACCAAGAACCCTGAAATAACACAAGATATTAGCTTGTATAAAAAAAGGTGAATTGAAGAACCTTGAAAAAACATTATTAGCGCAATCGTCATAAACAAATATAGTACTCATTGACTGATTGATTAGCATTTAAATGCAGAGTAAGATTAAATAACATTAACAGAACAACTCAAGTATCAAAAATATTAATTGATTAAGCGAGAGGCATATATTATATATCCATCAGACTTGGGTTAATCACAGACGAAGCTTTGATGGTCATCAGCCAAACTAACGCATGTCTCAAACCAATCATCGTTAACCCGAACAAGTGGTGACAGGGGAACTCACCAGGTCAACCTCTGTGCAAAGCTTCAGAATGCTAGTTGGCCATTAGAACAACACAATGCAAGTTCTCTAACTGTAAAAACACCAGGGAGAAAAAGACAAGACATGGGTTATTGCATAAAGAAAACACAAAAAATAAATGCAAAGAAATTGATAAGTTACGACTGAGATAGGGCTAGCTGAAGCCTAAAGGAATTGCACAAATCTTTATTAGCTGAACCAGCAGCATTAAAACACCAGTTAAAACGATTCACTCTACTACTTAATTATATCTCTATTGAATGCTAAAGCTAAAAAGTAAAGAGTATTACTTCCTTATATACTAAACTTGGACTACTAGCAAGCAATAAACACCATAATTAGGGCCAGCACCTACACTGCCACTCAATATATTTAAATATATGAAAAAATTGAAAAAATTCAAAAAATCATGATTTTTTAATAAAAAAATTAAGTGATTTAATCACATGATTTAATCATTTTGATTTAATCATTGCCAACTCTGTGAAAAACATGGCTTAAATCATAATACTGCTAACCACTAAATGCTAACAAACATATTTACCAAGCACTGTAGAAATTTACCTTTAGCAGGCATATGACCAAAGATAGTCACTTCAATCTCTAAGCATTGGTGGGTGTATGCTCATATATGATCACACTAATTTTTGCCATCATATTTCACTATCTTGCATTTGCTTCAAGTAAATGGCATCATAATCAGTTGATAAAGCAAGTTTTTAACTATGATGCTAGCAACTATGATAGCCTTACCTACAGTTCGTCATGGGCTAGAGCTGCTGAAGTGAATACGATGAGGGCCCTAAATGCCATTTTGCCATTGCGTCAGTGTACTTAGTTTTCAATTCAGCTCACACAGATGTAAGAGCGCGTCAGAGCACTACGTCATACATGATGGAACTCGTACACAATCTGTGATTGGTTGGAGCTTGTTGGCAGGCTGCCCAAAGCCATGTGGGTGATGTGTGGGGCCTTTTTTACTCCTATTTTGATTACCATATATGGTAACTTACCCGCGAAAGGGTTAAAGATTGAAATTCAATATTTTAATTGGAATACTCATATTAGGGTGAAAAATCTTTCTAAATGCCTAAAAGGTCAATAGAATCTCAACCAACCCTTCTTATATAAACTAGCTAACACATGTAAATTGTATAATGTATAATTAAAATATAACAAATACCGGTAGTTAAATAGTTAAGGACTACTTATAGCCTTATAAAAATTAGCTGAGCAGCTAGCTATGTACAATGTATTGCAACACTTGATGCCTCAGGACACCGGTTTGTATTCCAATTTTTCATGGCACATTTATACTAAACCATGAATAACAAAACCTCAAAATAAATTTGACTGCCACTCAATATATTTAAATATATAAAAAAATCAAATAAATAAACTTGTGATTATTTATACAAAATCAAATGATTTAATCAGTTTGATTAAATCATTGCCAACCCTGTGTGCAATATATTACGATGCCTGTATTTATGATAGTCTGCACTTCAGCCAACTATGTACATCTGAATGCTTGTATATGCAACAGGGTTGATGATTTTTTATTTAAAAAAAAAATAAAAAATCAATGATTTATTTTTATTTTTTCATGATTTTTCATTTTTTTTTTTTTTATTTTTACAGCTTTTGTGTCTTTTTGAAATGTTATTTTTTATGTTGCAATTAGCCTACTAACAATAACAGTATATGGATGACTAAAAAGGGCAGTTATTGCCTTAAAGAATGGCCAATGTGGTATTTACCACTTTGGGACTTTTGGGTAAACAATTATTGATAAGTCTATTCATTAGCTTTGTAAAGTTTGTACGGAGCAAGGTAACAAGCTAAATATTGACCATTTAACTGGCTTCAATATACAACAACGCTTCAGGAATGCGGATCTCCTAAACATTAAAGAGTCACATAACAGGTAGCTGATAGCACAATGCACAGCACTATCAATAGATCTACTAGATTTATGGCCTATAAATCTAGCACACTCTACCCTCTAAATACCGTACACCAACTAGCACCTAGTGACTGAGTGACTGACTGCACTGTTCTCATTTGATTCAGACCAATTAACCAATACTAAACATAAACTGAACGACAACCAAACAAACCTCAAATGACTTGGAACGAGAATTATGAGAAAAGCTAACACTGTTTGAAATAAACATGTATATATACACAATTCAAACATTTTATTTCCAGTCACTGCATTTAATTATTTTATATATAGTGTAAAGGACTTTTCTGTTGGCTAGTTCTTTGGGAATGTTTGCTGAACTATTCAAAGACGCGCCATCATGACAGGGTAAAAAATAAGTATTCCATGATGTATGGTTTCTAGAAAGAAAATTACAAGAAAATACATAAGACAAATATACAAAGAATGATTCATGATAGATAGAAGAAATGACAATGTATGAACCAAGATAAATATGAAACAGTGTAATCAATAATTTATGTAATCAAATCTAACTGACTGAATAGCTTGGTTCCTCAGGTACTATACAGGCATCTGGGTCAAACACTGAATGCTCTGATGCATCAGAAATAAACTATGTCTAGTAGACTAATTCTACATCTGCAAATTCAAGAGAAGTTGAAAATGGCGGCTACATATCCAGGCCGTATAGATGATTTGACATTTATACATCTCTAGTTTCATACAATAAGATAAACTTACCAGGAATTAAAAAAAAAAGAAAATAGCCAAAAAGTTCACCATTTCTTATAAGAGAAAACGTTTCGGAGTCGAGCTCCATCGTCAGTTCAAAACCTAGAACACAGGTACAAACAATTAGTTGCCTAAAATTCTCATTTAAACAATTCACCTAAACTTGAGGATACTATTAGAACTAAAATTGAAGATAAAAGAAATAAAAATGAGATACGTAACATGTGGAAAAGTTACGTAATCTAAAAAAAATTTTTAATAAAAAAAAACTTAAAATTCACAATTTTAGAGTCAAGTTTTTTTGTCAAACATCCAGAGTTGCCAACCCTGGAAAATGATTTGAATTGCTAAAATTGCTAAATTAAAAACTAGAAAATAAATATATATAAAGAACCATTCATAAAAACCACGTTTGTCTGGTGGTTACAAAACTAAAAACAATGAAATAAAACAAATAAAAAACTATTAAAAACCACGTTTTCTTAACGGACAAAAAAGAAAAACATTATCTCTTACATTTCTACATAACTTTAATGTTATGTAAGAGTTAATGTTTTTCTTTTTTGTCCGTTAAGAAAATGCGGTTTTTAAAAGTATTTTGTTTTATTTACTTTTTTAATGAGATAGGCAAATTCTGTCAATCGCATTTTTAAGCCAACACCTGTGTGCAACTTTTGTTTACAAGTAAATTTTTTTAATGTAGCAAATATATATATATTTTTTTGCTACAGACCTTACCAGAGGTACTTTTCCAAAATCACGCTTTTCACCCTTTTTTCAAGGATTTTTAAAGGTAGTAAATGTATGATTTCCTAACTTGCTTTATGTCACATGGATAGTAAAAATGTTAAACTTTACGCCACTATTTTAGTTTTGCAATGTTTTCATTATTTTAGCTGTTACAAGATTTCTATGAAATGTGGACAATTGTCCCAATTTATCCTGCCTGTCCTTTATCACCCCGTTTGACGGTATGGTAAAAGTTTCAATGTAATGCTTAACAGTGTAAGTCAACTAAATATTATTCAATTCAATACCAAAGAAATTCAATTTATTTATTGTGACCACTCACCAAAGTACTTTGGAATGAAATATTGTTGTTAATAAAATGTGTAATCTATAAGTTAATTTTTGCTTGCTGTGGTTACCAAACAGATTGTGGATAATTTGACCTGTAAACCACTGAGAGACTCCCACTGCAATATGATCAGAGCTATAAGTAGATTAATTGCTATGGGTAGATTCATTGGCTTTCACTATCATCACATTATTTGTAATTTGTGTATTTGGTACCTACCACCGTACCATCATAATTTTATGAAATGTATGATAATTCATAATTTTCAGACCATCACATCTCAAGAAATTGAAATATGAACGAAAATTGTTCATTTAATTTCTTATTGTAGTTTTTTTCATTGAAATACAAATTGATAGAATGACAGTAATTTTGTATCCAGCAAGCTCATTTCAAGGATATTTTGTGAAAATTGCCTGAATTTGCCATCATGTGGAGGTGCATTGTGTCAGACTGCTGCAATGCTTCTGGGGCAAGAAGAGACATTAGCATGTTCTACTTACCGGCTGAGAAGCACAATGCTGTACTCTGGCTAAAACGAGTTGGCAGGATGGATTTGCTTGCACGCTCCGGGAACCCCTACAAATTCATACATCGAGTTTGTTCACGCCACTTCAGTCAGAATCAGTACAACTTGCGTGCCAGCTTCAAGACTCCAAGACTTCTGCCAAATGCTGTACCAGACCAAGAATTGCCATCAGTTCCAAATGCTTCAGGTATGCATACATTTTTAGAATTCACTCAAGCAGTGCAATCTATTTGCTTTAAGTGCAGGCTTTCCTGTGAATAAATTTTTGACAAGATACTTCAATAAAAAAAACTTTGAATTCGCATTGTTTCACTAGAAATGTATATATATTGTCAACAGCTAATGAGTGTGAGTCTGGAAATTGTAATGGATTTTAAATTAATTCCCAAAATAGTAACAGTAGTAAGGTATCAATTTGTCACCTCTATAACTTAGTAAAAATGAAAATGAAGTAAACGCCATTTAAAATAAAAATAAACTCTTTTAACTTGATTGTTGCAATCACAACCATGTAGAGTTTGCTTTAGCTTGCTACAGACTTCCTTAGCGTATAGCTGCTTTGCAAGCTGCTATAGTAGAGATAGAGAATATTATCTTTACTTCCTGACTTAGTTACATAATCTTGCCATACAATATCATACATACGTATCATGGACATTTTTGCCTATCTGAACAAAAAATTTTTGGTCAAAAAGACCAATCAGATCATATATAAAAGGGCTTCAATATTGTAAACTTGGCAAAAATATCAGCATAAAAGAGAAGATAGCACTTCAGGAACAAAAAAAAAAAGGGCATGTCAGTTACTGAACAAATTATTCTTGCATGCTTCAAAGTAGACAAACTATGACAAGGTTTGGCTTCTGCATCACTAATTACTATTTCTCAGGCTAATTTTAGTGGTTTCTAAACTGTGAACTATAAAACTTTGGAATCTCTGATAGAATTTATTTAAAGTGGCACACAGAATTTCTCTGCTAAACAGCAGCCCAGAAACCACCAAGTTCTTTATTCAAATATTTTTATTTGTATTGATTGCTTTAGTATCTGCAACTTTTAATTTTATTTCCTGTCTTCAGAAAACTTCATTCCTAACTTTGATAATCTTCTGCTGCAGATACATTGCAGTTGCGGTTGCTTAAGAAATGTGGTGGCACAGATGAAGCCAAAACTGTCAGCATCTCAGGTGGAAAATAAATTTAATTCATTTATGTTAGATATCAAAGTCTAATATCAATTATACACCATGCAGTTTCAGTGTTATAACATAGTTTTCATCTTTATATTTTAGTATGGAGTAAATTAGAGGTCCATCATTGTAATTAACTTTCTCTATATTTAATACCAGAAAATATTTTAAATTGGCACATCAATAATTCTGGATAGTCTTGTTCTATTTCTCAATTACTAATTTTTAAAGCAAGTTTAATCCACTGACAACATTATTATTTAATTCTTGAATTATATATTGTGGTGATATAACACTACTTCACTGCATAATCTGTTGTAAATGCAATGTATTCTACAAGGTTTAATTTTCTACCAAGCATTCCACTTAATTTTTTAATTAATTATCTATTATATATCCTTGTTTAACATTGTCAGAAATTTCCTAATGTTGATTCAGCATATGCATACCTTAGACATCTCATTTTTCCAGATGAATGTAACCAAGCTGCTGAGAAGCACAGCTCAAAGCTGAAGCTGGAGCTCAGAGTGGACACGGTTAACTCCATCCAAGAGCTACAGTTAGGCACATCTTGTGGAGATGCTGGTCCTACTGCAAAAAAGAGTTAGTGGCTTGTTTATGGTGAATTTGTGTTTCTATTCTCTTATCTATTCCTTTGTACGGTTAGTGCATATTCTGTTCTGCTGCCATTAAAATGATATTATTGTACTTTTTTCAGGTTAGATGAATTTTATAAGAATTCCCTCCAGTAAGCAGATAATAAAAATAAATTTTTCATTTCAAAGGCTGTGTCTAAACTTATTGCAAGCTTCATTTTATTCAATGGCATTGTTAAAAGTTGCTTTGTTTTCATTGATTATTTGTCATTTGAGAAGAACTCCTTTCAGCAAATAATGGGTTTTGAAACCAGTCTTGCAAATCTTGAAATCAAGAAGCAGATTGAAATCATTACTGCAAATTAGAAGCAGCACAAATTTCAGATTGAGATGAAGTGTGGCCAAGTAAAGACCGTCTATTTTCTCAGTTGTGCGACTGCAACTGCCTCCTGGGATGACTGTGCAGGAATTTGCTGCGTCTAAGGCTTTTAAGGAAATTACCAGCAAGCTGCCCACCCTCGTGAATAATAACAACAATAATAAGTGTAAGTCTTTCCATGTTTTGGTCAAACATTTCAGCAAAATTTATATCCTTGCCGTATAGATGAATTTACAATCTTTTGTTATTTGGGATGAAAACAAATATCACCTAGTATTCTGCTTTCAAATTTTGCCACGTATTATTGTGAAAGCTGTTATCATACCATTACCATCAATAATATTAGCATTTCCACTAATTTTGTCTTACTGCTAAGAAATTATTTATTAACATTTCCCAATGTGTTGTAATTCATCCTTATTGCAGCCGTATTGCTGACAGTGCCAAGATCTGCAGCAAGCACCAGTACAATTGCTGCAGATGAAATAAGTGAGAATGATAAGAGCAATGGATCAGCGGACAGAAGTTCTCTTTCTAGTAAGTGGTAACAGTGTTTCCACTGGTGGCCCATTAGGTAATGTTGATGGTAAAATAAGTTTTAGTTCAGTCATTGTTACGGTGAAACTTGGTCCCAATCTTGCACTAGTTGAGGATGTTTGTTGTCACAAGCTCTGTTCTAAGATTATAGTTACTAGGTCTAACGTTTGTTTAAGATTTGAAAGAATAAGTTTTTATCCCTCCATATATTTGGTTGTTAAGTCTGACTTTTTCTACATTATTTATACTAGAACAGATTTTTAGGTAACTATTATTAGAATTACCTCTATCTATTGTGTCCTGACTCAGAGGTATCTGGGCTTGGAGATATATACTTTGAAGGAAGTATATTTATCTACTGACCCTTGCTTCTTTGCATATGATCCTTTTCTCTATAGTACCCCTGAATTTAATGTAACTGTTCATATGACACTTCTAAATATTTGGTTCAATGTGTCGAGGCATTTACTTAAGAATATTTTAATTGTACTTCTGTCTATTTCAGGTGAGATAACCGCGCCATCTGAGAAGCTGTCAGTCAACATCAGTGGGGGATCAAGTGCCACCAAAATTCAGTTGGTGCGCGTCAAGGCTCGTGATGTGCTATGCAACAACAGCTCTTCTGCCTCCAATACCAGCTTAGCATTTCCAAATCTAATCCCACCTGGGCCTCTGCTACACTCAAACCCTACATCCTCTTTCTCCAACCTGCCCTTTTCTGCATCACATTCAGGTCCAACATCGTCTTCCTCCAACCCACCCTTGTCTGGGTCACACTCAAGGTCTTTGTATACTAGCTCACAGTTAAGCCACAACTCGTTTTCTACCGCCCGCCAGAGGCGGTCAATACACACTCCTCGATATGAGTTCAATACTGATGGTGCTGATGGAGACATAGATGACGAGGAAGATGATGCATGCAATGAAGAGACTGACGAAGAGGCATCCGACGACAAAGCTTCCGTCAAGCGAGCTCTACGTACACATTACGGAGACAGTGCCCCCAAGAAAAGAAAGCTGGAGCCTGAATCTGACGTCCCCAATATGGACACCAGTGGTAAGTGCTTCCTCCTTTGGAATTAAATTTTATTGTGTGTTGCTAGGAATTGTCACTGCTGCTGTTTCCTGATCCCCAATTGTCACAGCTTGGCTCGGTGTATAGCCTTGCCAATATTCACCCTAAATAGCTACATTCATGGAAAGCCTCATTAGTAAAGCTCTTAAAATTTTGCTCTCGATTATATGAAAATTTTGGGAAAATCGTATCTGGGTTTCCAACGATATCATTTCTCCTCGGACTTAATTACTATAGCTGCTTGTATTGCGTTATTCTCTGATGTGTCTTTTGTGAAGAAATTCAAAGCCGTTTCTGCACAGAAAATTTTTTTGTTTGTTATGTATAGTTAAAGAGATGATGGCTCGAAAGATGGGCATAGGTGGTCAGTGGATGAATTAATTTTTCACACCTACATTTTTATGATGATGTGTCAACGAAAACTATATTTATCTCATTACTTGCTCCCTTATACAAGAAGATAGGGCTAAAAAGGTACTCATTTGCACGACAGCTTCCAATTTCCATCTTGTTCAAAATTAAACCTTATATATTTTATGATTTAAAATGTTATTAACGTTTGTTGTGTCCAGGTGACGCCTCGGGTGCGGACAAGAGGGCCTACTACCAATTCATGCACGACCTCGACGTGAAAAGACGGATGCGCAACAGCCTCCTGGAGAAAATAAGGCACCAGAAAGAGTTGCTGGTAAAACGTAGTAAAGAGCTACAAAGGTCTGTGTATTTTTGGGTGTATATTTGGAAAGTTAACATTGTTTAGAGAATTAGTTATTGTTATATGATAGACTTTTTTCCTCTGTTAGTTGACTTCAAAGTATGAATACTCTTTTCTGACTGAGAATTCTGTTCGCCGATTCGTTTTTAGATCTTTTGTTGCAATACCTTTAGTTGTATTTTTGTTCCGACACCTCCTGCATCGCGAATACAGTGTAAATACCTGACATCTTTGCACGACCTAGCGACAAAACAAGATTGTACTTGATATAATTTCGTTAACATTGTCGCCATTATATTTTGTCTTCATTTCTAAAGTGTTATATTTGCAGGTACCGAATACAGCTTCAACGCATCCGCGAAAAAAACAGTCAGCGTGGAGAGATGAGCACAGCCGAGTGTCTACAGGTGCTCAACGGCAACATGCGTGAGCACGCCCTCGAGTTACTCTACACTCAGCTCATGGCTGCTCAAACCGCCCACCAAGATGGCATGGAATCTTCAGCAAACGGTGATGCTTCCTCCAGCCGTGTTTCAGGTTCAGCTCACGAGGAAAGACTCCAGGCTGAGTCAGAGAGCCAAGAAAGCAATTCAGCTATGAGGATGCCCGAAGAAATTGTGTACACTCCCAAAGTCTTGGAAGCAGCGTTGCTCTTTAGTGTTGCTGGGAAGAAAGCTTACAAAGCCATGACACAATCGCTCAAGCTACCTTCATATAGTGAAATCGTTAAGTGGAAGAAAATCATCCGAATGAATCCTCCGTTTTATCGTAAGCATTTCCCTCATCTAAAAGCAAAATTTTTCAAAAAGAAGCGTCCGGAAGAAAGAGGAAAAAGAAAAGATTTAGAAGCTGAGCCTTTCTCACACGCTGAAGAGAGACCAACGGAGTGTTATGGATGGCAGAGCGAACAAGGAACAAGCCATAAAACAATCAATAACTCCTCTAAAAAATCAGACTCAGTAACTCCTGAAGAGGCTGATAGAATGTACAAGAAGCTCATTGAAACCGAACGTAAGCTTCGTGCCATTTTATCTGGCGGCGATGCTTCAAGCAAGTCATCAAGACTAGACAACGATGAAGAGTTGGACGACCCAATGCCTGACGATGACACTATTGACTATAACTTGGAAGCCTCTGAGTTTATCAAGCATTTGAAAGCCAGGGAGAAGAGATTAATTTACGGTGATAACTGGGAGCATCAGATTGCAGAGCTCGAAGAACGAGATGATATTTCTGACTCTGAATTTATAGATTCCCGTAGCATGTCGGTCTCCGAACAAACTACAGTGGAACTCACGTCCGTCAATGAAGCAATAGATCGAGTAATCAGCAACGTCGTAAGCAAAAAAGGTACAAGTGAAGATCCTCTGCAATGTGGTACACGGACTCTTTCTATTACGGCGACCAGTGATGGCAGCCCTCATGTTCAGAATGACGATCAGTGTCTAGACTCGAATGTACTTATGGTGGACACCCAAACACTCGATGTTAGTCTGAGACTCAATCCAGAATCGCATGACCACGTGTATGACGACGCTTGTGTTCCTATCAGCACTGGAAGAGGTGAAGGAAGTGCGGCCATATCAGTTGGCGATCAGATTATTCCATATACTGAAACTCGGCTGTCACTGAGCAAAAACTCAACAGTTGGGACTGGAGACACTGGTGTTCTTTTATCGTCACTGAAACCTGAAAGAAACTATAAAGAAAATAATTGTCCTTCATTTAGTGCATCGAAAAAGGTTACATTCTTCACGTCAGATGCTAATAAAGCAACTGCATTTGATAAAGTTCCAATTATCATCGAGCCCGCTTCTTCAGTTACAGTTGACAACAGAATTTTAAAAGGAATTTCATTCAAGATTTTAGACTCAGATAGTGAGTCATACAGCAACTCGGCAATTTCAAGTCAACCTGGTACTGGAATTTCAACCTCCGATGATCCATGTAAAAGTTCAGAATTCATTTGATCCTAATCTCATTTTCAAATGATCGAACCTTTTAGTCGTCGTCGATCAACACCTATGCAATATCAATGCTAAGAGAGAACTTTATGCGCAATAACTCAAGGAAAATGATGGAGTTCTGGAGGCCATTATGCAACTGTGCGCTTGTATTTCGAGCTCTGTTCTGGGCGTGGACTAGCTTCTGATTGATCGGCTGGAGTAATCCTGTTTTTTATTTACATTGCCCGTCTTTAATTTAAAACTGACTTTCGTTCATTTGTTAAAACCTTTTGTTCCATTGAAAACGTTTTTTTAAATAAACTCGCATTTCATTGCTCTGAAGTAAGTTGCAGTTTTTTGTACTCTCTTATAGACAGCAGCTGATCTTATCACTACCTAAATTAGACGGTCGTTTTCTAAGAAGTACATTTAGTTAACTCATTAAATATTAGCGGCAAGTTCATTTGTCGTGGCTTGTTCGTCTAATAATATTGCTGTAATAAATTTTACAGATGTCTATCTTCACAAATGTATTAAGATCAATTCAAGCGAGTTCGCAATTGAGGTGGTTTTTCTTTAAAAAACATGTTGATGATAAATTCATTTTATAAATAAAATTATGCATAGTTCTTTGGTGTAACCTATTTCTGCTGAGAACCTGCATCATTTCCTACTGTTAACTATTTCGTATCAAATCTGTCAACGATTGTTCTCGCTAAAATGACATTCGGAGTGAGTAGGTTACTTTTTGTCACTGATATTTATGTTTATATTACGGATTTTATTTATTTTTCTTTATTATCAATGTTGTAGGATGACCTCCATAAATATTACTGAAGCCAACGCGTATTTAATCAACTATATCTCTGTTGTACGGTCGAATAAGTTTATTTGTTATATATAGAGTACTAACATGAGTTAGTGGGCAGTGAGGACGTTGTAATTACCGCTGTAAAGCTGGCCGATGAGCACAAACTTTGAAATTACGCGCGCTGTGACGATGCACATATTAATTTTGATGAACATATTAATTCTCTGGACTCCTATGTTGTGAAATAATTTATTTCACAGAGACAAAGGATTATAAGGGACAAAGCTGCGCGGAGAACAGAGTTTTATCTAATTTCACCGCCAAAAGAAAGTATTTTTTTGTTTTTATTATTTATTGAGCTGCTGCAAAATCACATTTAATTTCAGATGTATGGAAATGGTGGTATACTGGGTACTGAGGCAAGTTGTTGGTCATGATGAATGTCAGTACAATTCGCTGCAACTGTAAAAACTATTCTCGTATGATTTACCCTAATGCTTAAGTTTGAGTAATTCACGCCGCTAATTCGTTTTACAGAAACATTGATGGGCTAATTATTATCAACGTGAATTGAATCATTCGTGTTTGGGACTCCGAATGCATAGAAATCTTGGTAACCGGAGAACTTCTTTGATAAATTATATATTATTGGCTTTTTATTATCTGGGTTTGCCCATTCGCCATTGCCACCGCGTCAAGTTAACCTGCTGGACCTAAGCACCAAGCTGGCGATGATGATACATGCGGGTGGAATTATAAAAGCCAGACAATGTATTCTCCTATTACCTTTAGAATTTGTTGAAAGATAATTTATTTAGAAGCGTCCTTATTGCCGAATCTTCAAAACTATCTGATGTACAGGGTGTTTCAGAATTAAGTAACCCTTTTAATTTGTTAATAAATAAAAAACTAAGAACGTTATGAAGTTGAAACTTGTTTTATTTAAAAGAAGAACATTTTTATGGTAATATTGTATCCTAGTTTTTAAATATAATATCTTTTAAATGCCCACCACAATTGTTTTGACAAAATAGGGCTCTTCTCTTTTGAAAATGTTCTTCTTTTAAATAAAACAAGTTTCAACTTCATAACGTTCTTAGTTTTTTATTTATTTACAAATTGAAAGGGTTACTTAATTCTGAAACACCCTGTATAATAGGATAATTATTGTAAAAAAATGAATTGGACAATTGAAGGTGCAGTTCGACGTAGTCGTGGACATGAAATGCAGGAAAGTTCATGATTACTTTATACACAATGAATGTGCTGCCCCGTTCCGAGGCGTTGAGCTGGCGGAGGTACTTGTTGGTGAATAAACCTTCGTTCTCCTGAGCTCTGATGACACTCGTGAAGTAACCTGAGACTCATGGCTATCCTTCAGGTGTGGCTGACCCCACAAGGCGTAAACGGCCTAAAAGTGTGGTTGGTGCCTCCAGCCGTGATAGGGGCTCCCAAGTTTGGCGGTTGTACTTAGAACTCTTCCCTGGCGTCGTCTCCACTATGACGTCGTCCCTACCCTGGCGTTGTCTCCACTCTGGCATCGTTGTCTTCACTCTGACATCGTCTCCTTGGTGTGATCTCTACATTGGCGTGATCACTTTCTTGGCGCAGTTTCCACCCTGGCGTGGCTTTCTCCTTGGCGTGTTCTCTACCCTGGCGTAATCTCCTTGGTGAGATCTCTACATTGACGTGGTCTTCTTCTCGACGTATTCTTCTCTTTGGCGTGGTCTCTACCCTAGCGTGATCTCTTCCTTGGCGTGGAGACCACGGATCTTTACCCTGGCGAGACCTCTATACACAGACGTAATCTCCTTCTTGGCTTGGTCTCTACTCTGGCGTGGTCACCACCTTGGCGTAGTTTCCACCCTGGCGTGGCTTTTTCCTAGGCTTGATCTCTACCCTAGCGTGGTCTCCTCTTTGACGTGATCTCTACTCTCTACCCTGGCGTGGTCTCATTTCTGACTTGATTAGCGCCCATTATTGAATTCAACCATAGGTGAGCACGTGTTATCCCCCGTGTTGGCTTTTGTCCTATATTTGATGGACTAAAATTAGAAGGCCTATCTTGAACCAACCAATTACAGTTATTTATTTGACTACATTCAACTAAAATCTCTACTTTCGTGGAGGTATAAGTTGCAGCTTCTATTGCTCAGATAATTTTAAATAAAAGGGCCAGAGTTGTTTGGTAAAGAGACATCTGGAGCCAAGTGTGCTGTGAGAATGCAGTGTACTCTAATCATCGTTGTGAATATTTTATACGTCCATCTAACGTCGATTTTTACGTTGCCGCTGTACGTAAGTTAGAAACATCGCTGGCCGATCTGCGTTAAAGTTACACAGGAAAAAGTTTTATCGTGACTGGATGTGCAACGCTGTTGTAGTTGAAGATCTCAGTTCAAATGAGGTGACTGTTGCTGGCTGATCGGCGTTATATGTACAGATCGCTGATCATATCACAAGATCAAACACTCCCACATGTGCTCGCTGTTCGTCGCTGCCAGAGCACGAATTACTTTAATAATTACCTACAAATGTAAGCCCGGGAAGTTACTCGGGATTATCGGTCAGTCCATGATCATCGTAAACTTGCCATTTGCGTAGAACTGAACTGACCATCATCGTTGAAATTATTATAGCAAAAATTAGTATTATAGAAAACCTCAGACGTTTCAAGAATAAGAATCACTCGTCACGTGCGTCAATCATAAAATACTAACGTCGTATAGCGCTGCTCGGCCCACTATTTCTATGCATCATGTTAAATACACCTGAACTGATTCGCGATTTTTGCCTCTTGTCCTGAGTGTATATCAGCTCCTAGCTAAGTATTATCAATACCCGTGTATTGTTCACTGCAGCTTTCACAGCTGATTTTCGGAAATTTATTGGTTATAGTCATTCACTGGGTGTCACCAATGTACAATGATACAGTAAAGCGAATAAACTGCGGTTATCATAATCAAAATAACTGAGACGTTTGCATTCGATGCATTCGTACTGAAAATTTCACATGTAAATATTTGCACACTGTCAGCCTACAAAGCCAGCGAAGTTTAAAGGTGTCGTCTGACGATAAACATTAAGGTCACATCTCGCATTTAGTAAAATACTTCTTAGTACCTCGTGACGTCTCTGACTATGATCAACATGCGGTGAGTTTTAGGAACAAGTTTAGCAATATCACGGAAGCGACCGAAAATTGTTCGCAATTTTGTTTCGATACGCCAAATAATAGACCTATAACTAATTTGAAGGATCCGATGGATGTGATTAACTTCTTGAGGAACTCGAGAAATTAGTCTTATTTAAAATTGAAGGTCTCTGCGATGGAGGCGAAAGCAAATGGTTTCTGATATTGATCAGTGTAACGAGTGATGAATTTGGAAGTGGAATGATATAAAAATATAAGCATCCTCTACATATAATAAAATCTGGAGTGGTAATTTTTGCACAATACACAAAGATTAGTGGGATAAAGAAGTGATTCGAGTTTTCTCTTTCTATTGACCGCGTACAATGAATTTGTTTATAAGGTTGTAAAATGCAATATTTATTGAACAAAGCTTGCTTTAATCCATTCCATGCAAATATTTGTAGTTTAAAAGTAATAAATTTAATATTGGCTTTCACAAATATTTTCTTTATCTGCACGATAAAAACTCATCCTAATTGACCAATCACACAGGATCTATTTAAGAATCTGCTGAATACTTCTAGCCCAAAGATACACGATATCCTTCGCGGCGTTTCAACGTCCCAAATGTGCTTCTAATCTCAAACATGGAACCGGAAAAATCCATCAATCCAAGCAAACACAAACTCGTGCCATCTCGCGAGATGAGCTAATCCCCGCCTGCTCCCAACGTACACTCGGCGCGCATCACTTCCCTCCCGCCATGTTCTCCTGCCGTAGCAATTTGATTCGTCACCCCAATTACTTGGCTGGAATAATATTGGTCTTCCTCGCTCCGGCAATTCCAATGCAAATATCGAAGTATAATAGGAGCGCAAACATCGTGATTGGAACTCTATTGGTTTTGGATCTTGCTTGGTATTGGCTGGCGGTTTGGAATATGCGATTACTTTTCCGTCGGTTTTTTCGATAGCGGAGTAAATACTGATCGTGACGCTTTTGCGTTCGCTCTCGATACACCATCGTGGTTTGTTTGCAGCGCGCTAAAAAATGAGATTGGCTTTGCAATTCAGGGGGTTTCTATTTGAAAAAGACGATAAAGTTGGATGTTTACTTTAGTCAATCGAACTGCGAACTACACACTCGATTAATTCATGGACACAGACAGATCTGGTCCAACCAACAAAAGAAGAAAAAAAACGTAGCTGCCATTATTTACTCCTTTGTAGTGACCATAGCTAAACCGATTCTCAGTGTTGACTTTCCATTGAAGAGCAGTGCAAGCATGGCAGTTCGTGGATCTTATGTGTGCTGTTGGAGCTAAGCCTGAAGTGCTGGTGTGTTGGTGAGCGTATATCTCCTGTCTCGTAGCAGTGTCTGTGCGTACTTAGGGTCCTGTTTGCCTGGGATTCCCTGCGATTGTGCTGTGCCTTTCAACTGTTCTGACTGCATTTGTGTCAGCTCCTGCAAAGCTACTGAAACTTACGTCATCCAATGCAATGGTAAGACTAAGTACGAATCCTGCAGATGACGAATCTTTCTTTAGAGGTCAACCCAGTATTATGATTTATTACAATTTCTAGAGATAACAGATCAACATTGTAATTATTTTACCAAATCGCTAAAGGTCGAATAGGTTTACTTGTTGGCTTCGTTTGAAGTTAGGCGTTAGTCAGGCGTGTATTTGTGTTGTACTAGAGTGTTAGAGAGGCGGAGCCCCGACAATGTTTATACGCAAACAAGCTCAAACACTCGCATGTAAACAAATGAAGTCAAACAGGGGCCGAGGGAACGGTCGAGTTTAGTTCTGCTTGGTGTCTTTCAGAGCAACAAGCCAACAATATTGTTGCACCGGGATAGCCTTGAGGCCTCAATACATTCTGTTTACGAAGAAGTGAAACTGAAATGAGATTCTTCTTTTCTTTATATCAAAGTGACTACCAAGGTATTAATAGACAATATTTAACTCTAAATTAAACTTCAAGATATTTGTTGCAAATTTTTACATCTGTTGTTAATGTTATCGTACAGTTTATTTCCAATCTTTAGAATTTAAATTCCAGTTTATTTATTCCTCACGCATCGTGACGCGCGTATACTATATAGGAAACGTAATCAAGCTCTTGAGAATTAAGTTCAGAAGCGTGAGAAGATGGCATCTGCATCACCCCTGAACGTCAGCTGTGGCTGTAAGAGAAGCAAGATTGTAAGAGAGGCACAGAGTCGTTATTTGGCGGTCCTAATCACCTAATTGGATGATAGCCGATCTCCGGCTGCGCGCTCGGGTTAATTGCAGTCATTTAACTGAATGCTCGTCTCTCGGAGGCTAAGGTTTA